GCAAAAGGGTTTCGAAAGCTAATGGTTAGAGCATGCAAAATCGCCCATTTCTATTCGGAGATCATTCAGCCACAGTTAAATCAAATTAATGATCTACCTCAAAGTGATCAATTGGTTGATTTCGAGACTGCAAAAAAGAGGATTAACGTACCTTTATGACTTTGTCAACACCGGCACTTCGATTAGGAGGTATCACGTCTTTGTATTTCGTGTTGATTTCTGTGTAAAGGGCGTAAATTGACGGGTCCAGCGATACACTCATCTCCATGTTCATATTTGATCCATTTATGTAGGCATATCTAGAAAAATCGACAGGCATCCTTTGGTGCTTGAAAAGGTGAAAACGTTTGGCACAGTAGATGTGTGCCTTGGTAAACCACTAATGAGGGATTGCTAGTGGCTGTTACCTCGGGCATAAAAAGAAATCACTCCCAATTGATAAATGATCATTTGCAATGTTGGGGTTTTTGGTTCATGGATCAAAGTGTACCTAATGATGAGAAGGCAGAGAAAGGGGGGAGAGGAGGAAGGAAAGGGGGGCCTATATTAGCTTTAAATTACTTTAGTACAAATTTAATTCTAGATGAGCTGTCAACAAATTCTGCCACAAGATGGCTACCTTTCATTAAAGTAGATATCCGTGATTTTCCTCCTTACAATGTAGAATTTAAATAGACAAAAGTGGCTAAGATTACATCCATATATCATTATTTTTAACCGCATTGAGCTGTGAGCGAATTAGGTAATGACTTGATTAAACATCACACAAAAAGTGGAACACAGTCTGATGGCTCTAACAGTGTCAAAGTCAGCACGATGCTTCTCTTCACGCAAAAAAGAGCAACGGTCTCGGGTGTGTCATTAACTTCAAGCCACTGGTCACATTTAGACCTCTATACCTATTCTTTTGCATAAGATTCTTATTTTCATTGACTGCCTGCGCGATTATATGGGTTCCTCTGGTGTCCGACAATGCGAACTCTAAGGTGGTGATAGGAGATCTCCCTGTAACCGTTTCCACCTTTCTGCGTCTCTAATGTCAAGGCTGCTCCTAAAATTACCCCATTTAAACGGCATTAGAAATAACTCGAGAGGGACATTGGTGACAGCAGTGACGAATCCATCCAAAAGAATAACAAGTCCTTTCTTACATGAGGGATTCTGTGCCAAAAAGGATTGGATGGAGACTCAGGGCATAAAGGCAAGTGTAAAATCATGCGAACCACTAGGTAATGCAGCATGGTTATAGCCACTAGGACATCCATAAATCAAGGTCGTGGAAGCAGTAGCCAAGTAGACGCACTTGTAGTACTCCTGGTGAAGGAGGGCGAAGACAGTGGTGGGGAGGGTCTGCAATGCCGTGAAGGAACGGTAGGCGGCGTAGTTAGCGCAGAATGCGATGACGAGGACGAGGCAAAAGAACCACCACACCACGATGAGGATCTGACTCGACGCCTGACTTGGTGGCCGTGTTCGCACTCCCTGCAGTCACACAGATACACACACACAGCTCGATGGACGATGCCTTGGTTGTTGCTCTGGGTGTACTACTTAGGTTCTACCTCCAGCAAACGTCTAGTAAGTTAGGTGATTTAGTACGCCTCAGAATGACCCTCATAGTGCCTGCACCATTTTAGAGCCTTTTGAGTTTCTCATGTTTCAAGCACCACACTGACGGCACTAAGCTTAGCTAAAAATATCTCACTGCTCTCATATATTAATAGAAAATATTTCTACATACTCCGGTGTCTTGTAATGTCTAAGTCAATTACTTGGTTACTATACCAATGGCAACTTTGACAAACAAAATCGCAGTGTTGATCAAATATTGCCCCAAAAAGTTAGGCAAGACATCTAACTCGGGCGACTTTTAACACTGTCTCAATTACTGTAGGAGAAAAACCAGAGAAAAACAATTCAAATGCATTCAACAAAGGTGCTTTGCAATCTTGGCAACATTGCCCCATTCAACTGCCCGTTATCTTCACAGTAAGTTGGTTGGACATCGAACCTATCGAATGGTTGCTTCTCTGGAAATGCATTTCGGTAGATCTTGGGAAAATTCAAAAGTTGCAAATGTCCACGGCTAGGGAGGATTGGGAGGTGTTGGCACACAATCTTTTCATGTACGATTCCACAATAGATTATGAGGATAGGTGACGCCGGCATTCAGAACGAGAGAGATGTTGCATACACTGGCTGAGTATTCACAGAGATGACTACTGAGGTTTTAGTCACAGCAGTGTGACTCAAACCAAGATATGAGGAAACAGCGCATTGCACTAAATGGCCTTGCCCTTTAGATAAATGATCCCACGAAAACCAGCCGGCATACTGGGCGTCGTCTAGCTTTTAGTCCCACTTCCAAAAGAAGTTGCCTTCAAAACAGTTTTCTTAGAAGAGGAAGAAAAAGCAGACTCCTGAGATGTGACACCACATATGAAATAAGGAGTAATATCTTAGAGAAATCATTTTTACTTTAAATGTGCTTGCTACTACGTATATTTTTCAGTCTGCCACCACGCATTCAGTTTCGTTCGCGCCCACTAGTCTACCAGTCTCAGTAAGATTTCATGCGTTGATAATAAATTTGCTTGCACAATTCAACAAGTACTGAGAGATAACTCAGGCTCTACAATATCCACATTCAAGGATGGAGAGTATACCTGAAAAAGGTAGCCGAAAACGAAGAGCATGGAAGGGTGGATGGTGTAGCTGAGAGTGTTTGGACTGATTTTGTGGAGTAGGGTGAGGGCCCCAGCAAAGAGTGCAGCGGTGATGAAGATGAGGAGCCATGTGTAACCGTCGAAGGCGACGACGAACTGGAAGATCTGGAGGGAGGCCTTGAGCGAGGGTCGGAGGTACATGTAGTTGTAGGTGATGCTGCGAATGGGGCTAGTGCTGAGGAAACTTTTCGATCGATCCCACGTCTCCGAGAACGGACCAACGAGGAGGTCTATGTCCTAAAAACAAATAATTTTTTTTTACTCTGCAGCAATAAGATTGAAAACATTCAAAGTTGCTAGAAATGTGAAGACCAGGTGTTTTCGTTCTCCAAAAAATTGTTTGAAGGTTCAATTTTACCCACTCCTCCAGAAGCCCGAAGATGCCGGTCCACCGTCCGTCCACCTCCTCGCCAACACCCAAATCGAATAAAGTGATATTGTAGGACACATTCAAGCGGTTCAGGAGTGCCTTTGCTAAGACGATCTCGGGTCCACTTACAGTCACAGCTCCGTTCTTGTCGGTCTCCTCTGTTATCACTGGTGGGACCTAAAAGGCATTCCACTGGTACGTTTATCAACCCTTCATCAATTTGTCCATAGATTGTTTTAGCATATATTTGAAGATCTTATTCTATATGTTAGTCATATCCAATAAAATAATTTGCTTGGAAAATTGGAGAAATCCAACCCATCATTAAAGGGCTACTTAAAAAAGTTCCACCTCGATTTGCCTACACGAGGACATTGGATCTTTTAGTAATTCGATCTCCTTCAATTGACAGGTTTACGAGCACCATTGTCGACCGAAGAGATTGCATGTGCACGATACGCCTGCCACCCATAAGGTATATGACGGGACAATATTTACATTTCGTATTATAGGCTTCACGCTATCAAAAACGTCAAAGCGAGCAATCTTAGACAAAGTCGAAAGAGCTGATGACGCATGACAAGAGCTCTCAATTGTAATGGTCATAGTGGACGCATAAGTGAGAGCATTTGCAGCAAATCTATAGTATCGCAATTCGTGGGTAATTAAAACGCCACCTTTGAACTTCCGCTGGCGACATGGCCTCCACAACATGCCAGTGACCCCCATCCGCCCCTTTGGTTCACCGAAAATACATCCTCTGCCCAAGTATCACATCTTTCGTCTTCAAGGCAGCCTCGGGTCGGTACACTGGTGGCAGCGGAAAGCAAACTCGATCATAAAGGACAAATACCCTGACTTCTGTCGCTGAATATTGAATATTAACGTGACGGAAGAGGGGCATAGGCTGCCGATTAGAAAACCTGTGACGACTCTCGACAAAAGAGTCGAAAATGATGTCAACCTACGGCGACTACCCCAGTCTCTTTTTCTATAAAAATGCTATTAACAACTGATGCGACACTAGCCGTGACCATGAACCATCTGTGTAAGGCATCTGAATGGAGATGTCAATGAAGTAAACACGCGATACCCTTCTCTCACCTCTCCACTAGCTGAATTGAACCCCGATAGATATGAATGGGCAGCACTAAAGTGAAAATAAAGTAGCAAGGAGGGACAGACGGGAACTTTATTTTTAAGTACTGTTTTAAACCTCGTCTTTTATTAAATACCTCTACTTTTAGGCCGAATACGTGATGATTTGCGCAGGAGATTGACTAAGAGGAGCGCCGCGGACGGCGCTTAAAAAGGGAGAGAGGCTATGTAATGCTTCGATTGTTTGGTTAACTCGGTTTTGATCACGCAGACACTTCGAAATTTGCTATTGTACTTTCGCTAGGCAACATGATTTTCGAGCCATGCGAGTAATCCCCGACCCTACTGCACGTCGGCAATATATATTCCGCCCCAGTATTAGGTCTTCTTTCGTGTTCAGGTAAGTCACGTATCACTAAAGTACCGTGAATGAGCACTTTCGCACGGTGAGTAGTAAATGCTAATGAGGCACAAACGTTTGTTCACAGTCTGTTTCATGATAAATAACTGGTTTACTCAAAATTCTCTACTCAACCGAACACGCTGATTAGGTGAATTCACGGCTAAATTAAGCCGACCTTGACGTATGTCTCAAGCATTTCAATAGAATGTTGGCGGATTTGGATCCTAAAAAGCCTGAGTTATACTAGATAAATGAATTGAAGAGGCAAATGAAATGTTTTGCAAATGACCTAGACCAATTTCGCTCTCCTAACTGTTTTTGACCAGAAACGACAATTATGAATGCTTGACCCCCTCAGTGTGGTATGAGGTCAATCTGGATACTTCAATATACTTCTTGATGTACGCATCATTTCTTCAGACCATCTATTCTCTCGGCCATGCAAGCATTGCGCAATTCCACTTTGACTCGATTATGATAATAAAGCCGTTATTTGTGTCATTTCGATGAGCACTCTGCTGCATGTTTTTTAATGTAGTACAGAATATACAAGCCGAGGTCGGAAATGGCATATTCGACGGCTCCCAGGAGCTCATCCGGTAAACATGATTGAAAAGCAGATAAAAATATACACAGGATGAATCGTTGATATGTTCTATGCGCTTGTCACTGCGTATTTCGGTACATAATTCTTACCTTGATGGTACCAAGACGAAAAGGCTTCGACCGCATTCGATTAAGCAAAAGTTCACCCGATGGAGGTTGCTTCAGTGCTTGGAAGCTCGCTACAATTGATCCGTTGGTTAGTACGGTTACTTCGTAGGCCTGAAAAGAGGTAGAAGTAAACACAAGTCAGTGAAAACCTTTTAATTATTTTTAGAATTGACCAAAAAATCAAAAGAGGCGACAAATATAAGCGCTTATACTAATCAGATTGGAAGCCGCTAGCCCATACCAACTAACTGAAGGGATAGCGGATTGAAACCAAACTATATGATGTATTTTGCCATTTCTTTCGTAAGTTTCCAAGTAAACTAAACGAGACTTGGCAAGCCAGCTAGAGTCAAGTTAGCTTACACTCCTCGAGTCAAAGTTCGTGTCCACATACGAGTAAAATTTCCATTTTTGTTGGATGACAGTGTTTTCCATACCATCCCGCGTGCTCGTGATGAGAGTTATGTCATTTGGCACCTAAAATGAGGTTTTCCTGTTACAGAATATTCTACTAAATACTTTGCGTGAAGAAAATGACATTAAAAACTAGGCATCTTCACTCCCCACTTTAATTATGGCCTGTTGCTGCTACTGTGATTAAATTGTCTCATAGGCACAGCAGCTCAAAAATACAAAAGTAAATCATGGTTCTACAGGACCTATTCACAAATTACAGCTAGAATAAAAAATTCCACGCTCAAAAGTTGACTTACTGTTTTACTGAGAAGTCTAGCGAGTCTCTGAAGTCCCACAACAGCCGTGTCCCGAAAAATCAGATCTTTCGGTGTTATGGGTTTTGGAATGGCACTCAGTTCTGGAAATTCAGTAAACCTGCCATTTGTAGAAAATTCGACTGCGAAAAAGTTCGCGTTGCCAACGCATAACTCCACCCCCGATAAAGTAACACCCTGTTTCGTAAAGGATTTTTATTTTTCAGAAGTAGTTATTAATCTCTTTGGTACCGTCAGTATGAATATACCCTTAAACATTGCGTAAATAAAATAACATTAAATACAAGCAATGCATAATGACAGCTACGCCTCCAACAAAGTAGAGCTCGAAATAACAAAGCATTTGTTAACGCTTTAAATATCTCAAAAAAATGATACTTCACACTAGTTACGCCTCTTTTTTACTTTAAATAGGAAATTGTAAGTGTCATTTTAGTACCTCACAAAATATTCCATCCAATCTTCATGCTACAACTAATCCTAGGTGCATAGGACTGCATTCACCACAATGCGCATCTACACTTGATAAATCACTCATTCGTTGTTGACACGATTCTCAAGTAATATAAACTCACAGCATTAAAGACAAGCCAATAGAAGGGCTGCTGTAGGATATTCTTTTCTTGTGCCTAGAGGGCGTCATTAGTAACCTCAGGTGGTGTCGGTAGCGCATACCTTCTCTAGAAGTTTCAGAGCGGCTTGCTGGCCTACATTTAGGACGATAACGTTGGCGCCGTCGACAAGAATTTTGCTGAGAGCATCCTCGACGCTGGCAAAGTCTCTTAATTGATACAAGAGGAATTGGCCCACTTTTTGCTCAAGGAATTGGAAGGTCTCAATATCTAAAGCATTCTCAATCGAAACGCAATGCATAACTTACGGAAAAAGGGATGAATCCCGCCCTCTAAACAAAAGAAACATGCAGTTAATTTGGCTCATCCTGCATGCAATTTAATCCTGTAAATCAATTAAAATTAGTGTTCCACAGACGGAAGAAATACCGAGGAAAAATTTGCTCAAATTCTCGCTCTCAGAATTTCCATCATTCTGCGCTACACGAAAAACCTCGTCTTGCAAAAAAAACTGGACCAAACAAAGTACACGGTACGTTAAAATATGATGAACTTTTATTAAGACATTATAGGGTGCGAAATAATGAACGAACCCGCGTAGTCGAAGAAATAGGCCAGTTTAACTACTCCGATGTCGGAAGTTAGATGGTTAAAAGCTGATTTGATCACTTCATTTTGAACATCAAAAGTCAAATCGAAACCCACAATACGGGATCTATTTACATTGTTCATGCCTGTCTTCCACTCCGGCGGAAAGAATGCAGGCCCATAGAAGTAATCGGGTCCAATTTCCACAAAAATATTCACATTTTTTATAAGTTGCAACTCTATAATCAAAAAACATTACCAATTATTAGTGTACAGATCCAAAGTTACAGAACACTCCAAGCCTAGAAAGATGTCAGCGAGAAGGAGGATTCAAATGCGGGTCGAGGGGTAGGAAAGGTAGCCTCAACCGAAGGGGTAGAACAAAATAGGAACAAGGACACACATTACTTTTTTTAGAAGTTCTCCTTAGCCATATTCAAATCTCATATGTATTTGCAAAAGTTATTGTTAAACAAAGGTTCTTACGATTTTCTAAGTCAACCACCGAAGCTGGAAACTTCAACTCATTGAGAAAAAGTGGTGCGATCGTAAAGGTTGAAAGATTGGCAAATTCCTTTCTCTGGAGAATTGATGCAAATAAAATAGAGCATCTTTTAGGGTCCAGTCGCGGGTCCGTGAACACTAAGGCCAGAAAATGGTTTAATTCCATTTGACATCTCGAATTCTTCGTACCTAGTTAACTCCACTCGAAAATGTTTAAGCAATGAGTTGGTGTGTGCACAAAATCACGTGTTTATGCTCAGAATTAATCACGAGGTGCTTGTGGTGGTTATGAAAGTGTCGCCGGTTGTCAATGTGCTACAATTTTTATTGCCATGCCAAGCGACTTCAGTCAAGAATCCAATAGGACTAAATTTTGACCTCTGGTACAGCAGAGCTGGAATTTTGAAGTCTGTTAAAATTCAACAAAATAAAACTGTTATAATGAAAACAGGAAATTTTTGTGCCTATTTTTATCCAATTCGAGTCTTGCACAATACCAATTAAATTGGGACTTCAGTCGAGTTTGTCACTTACGTATCGACTGTGCAATTAATTGGGCTGAACTGTGCAGGGCCAAGATGGCAGAGATAAGAAGGATGTTGATCCTGAGGAGACGCATTTTTTTCACCTGTCAACACCTCCCAGCAGCGCTCATATGAGTTACTCGCTTATCATTACCGTGCTTTTAGCGCCTACGTCCAAACCCGCACATTCGCGCATCATTATGATTGGTGTATGCCACCTTTCAAGGGTTTTTCCATACGCACAAGCAAATATGCGTGCATCCATTCACACACTCAACTGTCTTCAAGCCAGAAGAGACGCTTGACAACTTTATGCAAAACTGATGTCAGTGAGCAGCTTTCAGGTATGCATAGACCACCGACACTATACACGGAAAAAAAGCGCATAAACTAGGGCTAAAAGTGAGTGCAATATTGCGTAATCTACGAAACATTCTAAATGATATTTTGGCAGTTTCACGACGTCAACTGAAATTCCTGTTCGGCTAGAAGGTCTGGGAGTTACGTATGAGCAGGCGTATTAATATGCCAGACGAAGTAGTGGTTTGTGGTGCAATACGTCGAAATTAACCGTTAGTTTAATTCATTTTACACGTTTTTTTTCAAAGGACAAAGTGACTTAAGCTAGCCTTTTTGATGAGAGATCCAGAAGGCAGCCGAAGAGGATATCAGGGTTCACGCAAATTCAAAAATGATGAGCCTAAATCTTTATAAAGAAAATTCCGTTCAATAATATTAACCAATTACAAACGCGAGAATTGTAGACCTTGTCATTAGGGAAGGAAACAAAAGTTAGAACAAGATTTTGAAAGATGAATATGCGGAGAATCAATTTTGCGAGCATCTCCACACTACCGATCAATCACAGAGTTTCAAAAATAGATACAGATACGGGATTTGAAAAGACTGCTAGGATTACAAGAAAATGCACTTTTGGGAGAGATTATGGGTAGTGTTGACGGTGGGGAAGATGACGCTGGCAAAGTCAGGTGTCCGCATTCCATGACTCCTCTTCAGTGGCCTTGTTCAGGCGCCTAAAATGAAAGGTTGTGTTTAAAGTGAGAGCAAAATAAAGCGTGAGTATCTTTTCCACTCCAGGTCTCCTGATCAGATTGCACTCTAGTTGGCTGCCCCCGCAATGGTTACAAAAAAGGGGATTCTCTAGAAGATATATGGTTGAACATTTTCTATAGAATGCATTATTAGAAACTTCTAGTGGGCCTCTTTTCCTTAGGATTGAAAATGACAATTTGCTTTACCTCAATTGGCATGGTTTTCTAGAGCTCAGTCATGGCGCCTTCTTTTGTTTGTGCAAATGAAAAGCATTGTAGAAGTTACCTTCTTGTAGATACCAAGGAGGAATTCGGCAATCATCGTAATCAAGACGATGAGAAGGCCAATGAGGCTGATGATAAAGATCCCTAAAGCTGCAGCAAATTCAATAGAGTAGTCCGACCAGTGGACAATGGGAATTCGCATCGCCTCGATTGCCTGGTCGTTAATTGTTGCTCCGCAATACTTGGGCAGGCTAGCTAGTAGCTCCTCATGATCTCTGCAAATTGAGTTTGAAAAATAGCATTGAAACGTTAACTTCAGAACTTATCGAACTTTCGTCCAAGAGCCTAGTATTTACAATTACATTTATTTGAACGTGTAGAGGTGGCATTCGACTAGCTACTTTGGCACTCAGTTACTACCACCGATCCGACTAGTCGTCGACGTGCTTTAGATCACAAATGAGATGTACCATAATGCTAATTTAAAGTCTCAAAATAGGCTTTACTGCAAGGTCCCACCCATAGCATGGTAGATTGCGAAAGAAAATAAGTTCGCTTGATCATCAATTTAGCCCGAGTCTAACTGCCCAAGTGTCAAAGCATTGCCTTGCCCTATTGCATTTTAACATCATTTTGTTATTTGTGACAGCCAGTCTTTGAAAACGAAAAAGATTCCGTCATAGCAAATCAACCGAGTGAATTATCTTTCTTAACATGGATTGACATGCTTTGTTAAGATTACCCAACTAGTCCTCTGCCTTCTTACCGCCTTTTTAAAAAATCTTGTATGCGAAAGTAATTGGGTTCGTCAGAGTTATGAAAATCTTGGGCAGATAGAAAGTCTTTTAGTTCATGTAATTGATGATACTGCAGGTACTTGCTAAACCAACCAAAAGAGGGCTTCAAGTGACCCTGCCTTACGATTGGTCCACATAGCATTGGCTTCGACTACTGCCGTGAGGGTAATCCGTAGTGACATCGTGCGGGGTGAATTCTTGAAATCTTGCTCA